GGCATCATCTACGTTTCCTTTATGTACCAATAAATATAGGGAAGCCGATACGAATCATTCTGAAAGCCATCCTCAATCTGATCATAATCCTGGCAAAGGGGATGTACTGCTGCTTTAGGGTATTTCGTAGTAAACTGCGCCGGAAGAGAAATAAAAGAAGCCTGCGACTAACAGCAGCACTTGCTACTGCGATCGTGCTGTCGTACGTGGTACAGCTGGTGCATACCTGTCAACACGTAAACGTCCTAGAACACCGCTCTACCACCTGCACTCAAAGCAATGGTACGGAAACATGCACGGTCGCACTAATGGCCAGGAGAATGTTGAAAATCACACCACTCCATCAAAACAGCAACCAACTAATCTGAGGCTACGTAAGCAAATAAAAACACTTGATCGCTAATGTTAAGAATAACGGTATCGGAAAGGGCGCGTATACGCTGCCACTGTGACGAGAACCTTGATTTTACAGCGCGCCACAAACGCTGGAATGTGACAAGTAAGCAAGCAGTTGTCCACGGATGGGCCTGATAGTGGAGACAAGATGGCCGCAAACGGTAGAACAGTAGCAGTATCATGCCGAGCTCAAACGAGGAAATCATTTTCCTGGTAGGACTGGATGCTATGAGTCATGCGGAGGATTAGGTTGCGATTGCTTCTATCCAAGCTCGGGCTGCCTATTCTACCCGCGTATTTGCCACACCAGTTGGACACCAAAAGCCTATGATGAGATCTTCCGATGTATGCGCTGGCGTGAACAAATCATGTTGGAAATCATTGTAGAAGGCACCCATATAAGATCGGGCAAGGAAACGCATATAGTGCAAGTAATACCTAATGCTCCTATAACTCTACCATCACTTCGCCTCACGATGACCTCCTTATCAATATGCCACCAACACCCAAGCATTGAGTAGCACGTTCTTCACTGATGGTGAGGACACTGCAGTATGGACAGGGGCCATCACTCCAAATCTCATTTGCGACTCTAGAGAAAAAGCGCAGCGCATAATTGCACAGTAGTGGATGACTGCAACTGCGCCCCGGCCGAGTCCACTGTTTCATGTCACTGCATGTCAGCACATATTACTAGAGAATTCGATCAGCTTCAACATAAACTCCCCAAAAAGACACCCTATTGGGAACTTCGTTACCAGAACACATCCCTGGTTGCAAAAATACCCCAAATGGTTTCGTCCGAATTCATAGTGGAATTCCATAAGACCTGGGACACAGCAATCGTCCAGGTGAGAGAGGACAAATGTGCAGTGGAAAATACCCCTTTACAGGGATGCTATCACTGTGCAGGGGGAGCCCTCGCCAAAGTAAGATGCACCTCAGCTACAGAAATTTTTGGCGAGGTATTGTGTACTGAACATGCGTTCGTAATCCCGTGCGCGCCACACGGTCCAGAGTCAGAACTGCGCTTCCACCTTGACTCTGCCAGACAAATTCTGAACTGCACGATATCCTGTGGACGTTTTGAGAACGGGTTCTTAATTACTGGAGTACTGAAATATGTGAACACGTTCCACTACCCGGGTATGGCAACACTGGATGTAAACAACACCGTTTTCAACGAGTTCCAGTGGCCCGATTTTGGCCACATCATCGATACCATCCTTACGTGGTACAAGACCTTGCTCATTGCAGTGGTAGCGGTCGCACTGGCAGTTGCACTGACTTACTTATATGTGAGCACATGCGGTATGCGCACAGCGCAAGTACTCCTGAGACTCCTGTGGGCGGTCATTTGCCTCCCACCCCGCCTTGTTCTTGCAGTTGTCAGCACCACTATAAAATTCTGTTGTCAAGTTACGAGTGCACGAGAAGAAGACAGCTTAGCCGCTAATAATCGATTTTTCAAGCGTAGATACAGGTTTAGGAAATATTAACTAGTTATTAGAATTTAATATTTTTGGCTATTTTAAAAGGAAAAAAAACTAGCAATAGAATTGCGCAACATGATACTAACAAATTTTAGATATGGAAGACATCCGACGAGATCTGAATGAAGTAAGGGAAGCAGTACAGGCAATGCACAATGCAATTGACGAATTGAGTGCACTCGTAAGACAGAATCCCGAGCAACGACAGGCTGGAGAAGCCCCTGCACAGCAAGAAGAGCGCCAAGTCATCGCTGAGAATGCACCATTCATGGAAGAGGTAGAGGATGCCGGTGACGATGTCGGCGACGAAACTAGCGATGACGATAGCGATGACTCCGATAGCAGCGATTCCAATGACGGCAACAATGACGAGCAGCAAGCACAACCTGAGGACCCCCGCAACATTGAGGAGCCGAGGGCTAACCAGAGAAACGCACGGGCGGAAGACCGTCAACCTGTGAACCAAGCGCACAATGTGCGCACTAGGCGGCAAGTTCTGTTGGAACTCCGCCGACTGCGGCGACAGCAGGTTGTCTCTTCGTACACCATCCAGGATTTGATGAGGCAGCCCTTTTGTCAGAGGCGTTTGGTCGAGCGAGGAGTCATTACCAGACAACGTGATAGACACATGAGATGCGCCTTTTGTGATGCAGTCGGAGAACACTACTCAGATTCCTGTCCAATCGTGCGAACATCTCCAGAAAGGCGTATGCTGCTGCTACGTGACGAAAAGTGCGAACAGTGCCTGGAGCGCTGCGGAGGGGGCCAGCATTGCCCGAAGCGAAACGTGCGCTGCTTCCACTGCCGAGAGAACACCCACCACTCGGCACTGTGCGAGCTGCCTGAACGTAGTCAGCGAATTCTCGATCAGCTGGCGGAAGAACACAACGCAATAGCAAGACGCAGTCAAGAAATTCGAGAGCGCGAAAGAGAGTTGGATGCGCTTCCGGAAGACGCCTAAGCACGTGAGTTGGCGTCGGCGGGAATATCGCGGATAACCGCGATTTTCACGCCTTTTACTGATTACTGATGCACCGTAATGTTTAGCTTTGTGTTTTTATCTAGCTTCATTTCAGCTTAGCGTTCAGCACTTCACAGGGCAAGACTCGGCGCGTGGCTGCAGATGGCACTTCTTTGTGTGGAAAAGTACGAGGATGGAATCTACAGCTGCGGCGCGTGAGGAGGTTCATATAAAAGCCTTGTGATTACTCATTCACTCTTCAATGTCACTTTTAACGCCGTTTATCATCTATGAGTTTTCAATTAGTCGCTTTTGTTTACTGCATCATTTCATTTTTGAGTGACCTAGATTTCACTTTTCTTTTAACTCAGTTATTTCAGTATTGCCTTTCTACTATGATTTATTTTACATTTATTTTGGCTTTGTTTAATTACCCAAGTTTGAGGTTGAATATAAACCCGTGCAATATCTTGTGTCTCATCTGTGGTGTATTACGATATCAATAACTACAGAACCACGGTGCAAAGGGTATTCCTATATCGTTGATCTAGTGGATGAAAGATGAAACACGAACGCATAGCAGAAAATGCTGGACGGTCCAGTGTGAGGAGTGCTCGCGTATAGAACCTGCCCACGAGAGACTCTATCGTGAAAGCTATGCATCTGACGGAGGTAGGCCTAGACCTTCTTGAGCTCTGACTATGAGAGAGGGCTTGTATTGCTTGAAGAGGAACAGATTTGAAATATTCAACCTTGCCTTCCATGTATCTTGTGTGACATAAATTCACCCCCATGGTACACGTCATGAGTGAAGGTGTTTTTTCTGGCCGTCCTCCGTTTTTATACGCCAAACCCGGCTGAAGGCGCGATAGACGTGGCCCCCCAATACACCTCTCGAAATCAGTTGGCGGCGACTGTGGTTTTTAGGCAGCGTTCGGCAACTTTGCTGACAGCAGCGGCGATCGCGGCGACCGTCGGCACGGGACAGAGCACGCCCCAACGCTATTACTTGTACCGCTCCGAGCGCTTTTAGGAAGAATCGACTCAGTTCATGCTTTTATTTTCTATCAATTGCAATTGTCTCAGGTACTCAAGCTTAGTTTGACCAAGGAAAGGCGGACCCAACTCAATGGCTTTTGTTTTCTATTTTATTTTTGATTCCAGGATAAAATGACAAAAAGGTGTGAGCTTTGCAGAGTAGGTAAGGTTTTATTGTTTCTTGTTGCGCATTCTTCGAGGGCTTATAAGCATAAAGTTGTAAGTTTCGCGTCCTTTTTTGATATTGCATAAAAGAATTGGTGTTTCGGATTTCTTAGATGAGTTTCTTTCTGTTTTGCTCTGTCTTTTCGTTGCTTGAATCTCGAACTTTGGTAAACTTATGAATTTTTTTGGGAAAATTGGAACAGTTTAGACAGAAGGAAATTTTTAAGACGCTTATACGAATTGAAACAACGAAAACAAAAGAAACAAAGAGAAGCTCAGTCCTAGGAATCCGCGACCTAATTAAAAAGGTGACCCCTCCCCCACCTCATATTCCAAGATCCTCTTATGTGAGGTCTCACAAGTTGGATTTCCTTATTTATCAAGCGAGTGGTCCAAGTGATAGCGTCGTGCGATCGCCGCTGCTGTCGCGAAGTATAAACGCTGCCTTAGTTAGATGGTTTTCATTTGGGGCGATTCTAATCATATTGTCTTTCTCCCGACACAAGACCAGAACCAATGGAAATGTCTCACGAATAATCCATCTTACGTCATGTTGAAATGAAGTGAGCAGCCGCGCCTATCCTGTTTCAGGCATGTGAAGGGAGTGCTTCTAGACTCCATTGTCGATGTATCAATAGCTTTTTATTTATAAAAAGAGATACATACATACCTCCCAGGAATTGTTGGTATTGGAAGTGCACCGTATCCTCGAACAACGTCATGTCCCAGTAGATCATTACCGTAGCACGAAAATACTATTTGAGGCCCTAAGAACATGTTATTATAGATATGCATGCAATAGTTAGCAAAGTTAAGGAGTTCATACTTACATTTGTATGGACTAGTGCTGGAGAACGTGGCGGTAATGGGAAGATCAGGTACAAATCGATAGGATTCTCCTCGATAGCAGGTGGCTGACAGTCCTTCAGTGGAGCCGGCCACATGCTTCCAGTCAGGACCGTAGCTCATCGAATATTTCACGCACAACGATGGGATTTCGGGAAACTGAAATGGAAACTTTTCCTTCTGAACTGACACTTCTTTTTGCAGTTCGCGATTGAGAAGTTTTCAAAAGAGTGCTCGTGAGTTATGCAAGTGAAACACTCTCCCCAAGCTGGACACGGCTGTACTATCTGGAGAAGATATCGGTAACTAAGCACGGTTGTGATTTTAACGAAACTGTATTATATTTTTTCTTGCTTTCTGTTGTCCGGAACAGCCTCTTGAATATAATCCATCGATTTTCTTGATGTACAGTCCATGATATTGGCGAAGGATCGGGGATGTGGCGGGGGGCAGTGGTTCGAAGCAGCGCAACCAGATCAGACTTAGCTATCAGGGCTTGCGATTCGGGCCCAGGATAGCATTACTGGTGGAAAAAGGGCGCCTTGCATGCGCTGCAGTCCGCGCAGCGCATTTTCACGCCCTATCGTATCATGACTATACTATATTAACAGGTGAAGTCTTAAGGGATCTCTGAATGCTAATTCAACATGCCCTAGAGTGTCCCATAACTTCTGTACTCACTTTGCCACATGTTTATTTATTTTCTTTCTTTTCTATGAACATCTGGTCGTCTGTAAAATCACCAATTGAATAAGTGATATGCGTCCATTTGTTGGGTATATTCTGGATAGCTACGACACATGATAAAAGGCGATCGCTGGCCATCAAAGGGTTTGAGGGGGTTGTTTCAAGGCGATTGTATCTATTAAATAAATCTCTAAGACGATTTACAATTAGTACGCCTCGCACGACGGAATTCCACGACCCTGAGTAGGCACTGTGTAACGCCTCTCCCAAAAGAACCCTTCGTAAGGCCCTATCAAGCTGCAACATACCGACCCGAACGCCCACCGCGCCCGCCCGCCCACAAATGGACGACCGTACCTGATGCTCGTATTGCTTCATTTGCTAAGTAAAATATGAAGCGAAGGGATTGGTATGAAGCGGCTGCGGTGCTGCACGGATGTATGAGTACATGAGTGCAGCCGTATTTATAATACTAACTACTAACTACTTTACTATCCAACATATTGGACCGAAAACCAAATTATCGTGCCAACTGCCTTTAACTGTCCCGTCCACAGGGTCATTAAAGGCAGTTGGCACGATGATTTCCTACTCGGCCTAAAATGCTAGTAGGGCGCTATATAGTGGGGAAATGGCGAAAGAACGGAGTGAAACGGTCAAAATCCTGCGAAGAAAAAGCCTCCGTTCTCAGTGACTTGAAAATCGATTTCGGACGAGTTTCCCGTAGGCATCTTGCCAATCACCGCTACCGAAGATACGGCTGCATATGTGTACCCATATATGCATGCAGCATCACGGCCGCTTCATACCAATCCCTTCGCTTCATAATTTGCTTAGCAAATGAATGAATACGAGCGTCAGGAACGGTCGTCCATTTGTGGGCGGGCGGGCGTGGCGGGCGTTTGGGTCGGTATGTTGTGGCTTGATAGGGCACCTTCCTTGGAAAAGCCGCTATGCAGCGCCTGCTCAGGGTCGCGGAATTCCGTCCTGCCAGGCGTATTGATCCTAGTCGTCTTGGGGGATTTATCGTGCCAACTGCCTTTGAATTACCGAAAAGAATGCATCGCAGTAATGACGAAATGAATTTGTTTTTAGCAGGATTTCATCTGCTGATTTTCTGCTTTCCCAGTACAGGAAAAAGTTCGCAAAATGATGGAATGTATGTCACAGCCAAGCAAAAAATGGTAGCCTACCTTTCAAAAGCTTTTGAGTTCCATGCCGAAAGGCAGTCAGGTCATTTTTGGGATGCTTGCGAAGGTCACAACTTCTACACAGAAAATAGCCGCTGGAGAATCAGCTTGGATGGCAGTGAGAAGGAGCTAAGTGAGGTCGACACGATCACTATGATAGAGCCCCCCAACCAAACTTCAGGATCTTGAGCAGTACAATTTTCGCAACATGTGTCCCTGAGTTGTCATGGAGAAGAAAAAGTTAGTTAAGACACTAAATAGTGGGCACTTCGTCCTCCTTCTATTGCTGATTACAGTAGGGCTCACTGGTAACCAGAGCGTTGAGAATTTCCCTGCAGAGAACCCTTCGAAGGCCTCACCACACACCAGTATACTTTCCTATC